TTGTTTGTTACAGACTTTTTGTTTCTGCAAGAGTAGTATAGCTCACTATGAGCATCTTTAAACTTAGGTATCATTTTTTATTTTAGTTGTGTAAGCAGCTAAGCTAAAATACTGCGGTTGCCAACCCGCTCGCCAAGTGTGGCAACTATGACAAATACCCCCCAATGATTAGAGCAACAAAGAGACGGCCCCCAGTCCCCGGCGGCCCCGCTATTCCTGGCTACGGTGGCGACTATGGTAACGGCGGGGTAGGGGGTGCTAAGAATCTCCGGTGGAGGTTCGGTTGCCACCTACGACGACTCGACCTGGCAACATACAACGCACGCACCCTGAGGACTGACTGAGAAGATCGTGCAGCTGGAAGAAGAGATAGACAAGTTACGCGGGCATATTATAGTATTATCCGAGGTCCGAAGAGAGGGGGAGAACACGGTAATCCTCGAATCCGGCAACTTGCTCTATCACCGGGAGGGCGACCATCTGTCCCAAGGAGGTGTCGGAATTATCGTCCACAAGTCTCTCGTTAACAACTTTGTAAAGATTGAGAGTGTGTCGACGAGGGTTGCGTACCTTATACTCAGAATCACCAAACGGTATTCGCTGAATGTCATACAGGTTTACGCACCAACCTCGGCATACCGCGATGAGGAGGTGGAGGAAATGTATGAGGATATTTCTAGAGCCATCCATTCCTCTTTGGGTGACCCACTATACGGTTAATCGGAGACTTCAACGCAAAACTAGGCACAAGAGAGAACGGTGAGCTGAAAGTAGGGAAATTCGGAATAGGGCAACGGAACCCAAGGGGCCAGTAGCTGGCCGACTTCATGGAGAAAGAGGGACACTTTATGATGAACTCTTTCTTCCAGAAGCGGCCCCACAGGAAGTGGACCTGGTCGAGCTCCGACGGTTCGACAAAAAATGAGATTGACTTCATTATGACGACCAGACGATAACTGTTCAGTGATGTCTCCGTGATCGCGAGGGTGAAAACTGGTAGCGATCACCGAATGGTTAGAGGCACACTGAATCTAAACGTAAAGTTGGAGAGGTCTCGTCTAATGAAGTCAACGCTCCGTCCCCCTCGTGCTCTATTCCAAAGTCCCGAAACCTTTCAGCTCGAGTTATAAAACCATTTTCAGTGCCTAGAAGACTGCAATGAAGTGGACGATATGAATGACAAGCTCGTGGAAACTGTCCATGCGGTCGGAGCTAAGTTCTGTAAGACCCGCCGCAGACGAACACAAAAACTCTCCGATCACACTCTCAATCTCATGGCTGTTGGACGGGAGATGAAGCTACATTCTTCAACAGATTTGACAGCATACAGGCAACTGAACAGACAGATCTTCAAATGCATGCGGCGGGACTTACGCAACTTCAATACTAATAGAGATCTGTCTGCCAGAAAGAGCCAACTGTCAAAGCTGAAGACCGAATGTAGCAACATCGTTTCCGGGGCAGCTGTACACGTCATCGTTGGAGCCACACGCAAGAGTCTTATCCGACACTATTCCGAAGACGGAACGTCAGTCTGAGCGAGATTAGAATGGCTCTCCAGCACCTTAAAAACGGCAAGGCCCCAGGCGAGGATGGAATTATAGCGGAGCCTCTGAAAGCGGGTGGAAAACCGGTACTGGAAGTCCTTCAGAGGCTCTTTAATTCTGTCCTCCATAGTGGCATTACACCGGAGGTGTGGAGCAGAAGTGCGGTGGTCTTGTTCTTCAAGAAAGGTGACAACGCTCTCTTGAAGAATTACAGACCGATTTCCCTTCTGAGCCGCGTCTACGTGCTGTTTTCGAGAATCATTACGAATCGTCTCGCGCGCAGACTTGACGACTTCCAGCCTCCCGAACAAGCCGGTTTCCGAAAGGGCTTTAGCACCATAGACCATATACATACGCTTCGGCAAATTGTACAGAAGTCCGAGGAGTACAATTTGCCACTATGTCTGGCGTATGTGGACTATGAAAAAGCCTTTGATTCCGTCGAAATTTGGGCGGTGCTGCAGTCCCTTCAGCGGTGCCAAGTTGACTGTCGGTATGTCGAAGTGCTGAAGTGTTTGTGCAATAGGACTACGATGGCTATCCGAGTACAGAACCAGAGTACGAAACCTATACAATTGCAGAGAGGTGTAAGACAGGGTGATGTTATATCCCCGAAACTCTTCACCGCTGCATTGGGAGACGTTTTCAAGCTTCTGGACTGGAAAAGATAGAATACCTTATTAACATCAATGGCGAGTACATCACTCACCTTCGATTTGCCGACGATATAGTCCTTATGGCAGAATCGCTGGAGGACCTAAGCACCATGCTCAATGACCTCAATAGTGTCTCCCAACGACTATTCGTTGTGAGACACTATTGGCTATTCGTCCGACATAGCCCAACGGATTAGTAAGCTGAAGTGGCAGTGGGCCGGCCATATAGCTCGAAGGACCGACAACCGATGGGGAAGAAAGGTTCTTTAGTGGCAGCCTCGTACCGGTAGGCGAAGTGTAGAGCTACCCCCCACTAGATGGAGTGACGACCTGGTAAGACATGCAGGAAGTCGATGAATGCAGGTGGCTCAGGACCGTGCTTTGTGGCATTCCTTGGGGGAGGCCTATGTTCAGCAGTGGACTTATGAAAGGCTGTTATGATGATGTAATGATGATGATGAAGCAGCTAAGCCAGTCTAAAAGACCAGTATTACTGCAACCTGTAAAATCTATAGTGATCGCTGCTATGGTACATTTCACTGCTAAGCCCTATATCTTCAACGAATCGAAGTAGTTGCTTAGCTGTGAGCAATTTCACTTCTTCTGGGCCAAGTACGTAGTTACCCAGATGAGTGTTATACTTTTGCACATTAAGGTTCCATAATCAGTTAGGATGTACAGAGTGTTTCTTCCGTTAATGAAGAGAATAGGCACATCCTTCAGTTGCTTAGTTCCAAGATGGGCATGTGCTTTTTAGACAACAGTGTCTAGTCAGGGCTTCTGAAGCGAATTTAAGATTGTAAGCCCGGTTTCGTGTCAGGATCGTGCCAAATGGAAGTCCGTAGTCTCTGTCTAACCCTCTGGGTGACGGGCGTGAGTGTTTATGTTAAGCCCGGATTAAGGTTTTAGAATTTTTTTTAAGCCTGTATCAGATCAGATCTTAAATTTTTATTGTGATAAAGAGTTTCAACAGTCAATCGGGCCAGGCTTTTTGAGATTCCACATATGGATCAGGTCCAAAGTTGTGTACTTCCTTGCAAACTCTTGTCGGCAAGTACCACCATTTTAGAAGAGAAGACATCGATTTCTCTATGGTTTATCTCTATGGTCTATGATATGTGCAGAATAATCTTCATTCTAGATCTCGTTTTTCTCTTTTCAGTTACTTTTTCCAGCCGGCTTTTTGTTATATGGATATTTTTTATTTGAAACTTTTTTGTTTAATAAGTTAATTAAATAGATATTTCAAATCGTTTTTTTTTTCAATAACTTTCTATTGATCCCAACAACCAACATGTATGTGTGTTTGAACAAAAAACGACGGTGACCGTTTTGATTTGTTAGAAAAAAATATAGAGTAACGTAACGTACACTGCGAGGATTTAAATACCAATATCGTAAATACACCTCGCATTTTAAAATCGGTCAACTCATTGCGCTTACAGAAGGCCACAACAAACAAACAAAACATAATAAATACATACATAGATCATCGTAGAAAAAATTGTAATAGAAATGTTTATTATTATTATACAAACATACACTGATCCTTTTCACTGGAAACTTAGTCCTCGGGCGTGACAAAGCATCTGTATTTTGGTTCTTAAACGAGAATAAATGTACACGTCTATGGAATCCACAGCATCCACTTAGTGGCACTACATCATGTGGATTGTGTGCTCGTCTGTCACCCTTAATCTATAAAAAAAACCTCGAAAGACATTACCCTCCTGGCGCAGTAGGGTAAAAAGTTCAATAGTAAGCTTCTATAGTATCGACACCATGATATATAAATGCATCGCTACCATTAATAAGCGCGACCTAAAGTGATGTGGAAAGTGTTCTAATAATGTTAATAGGTATTTTAACTATTTAGATTGCGTTACTGACGCTCGAGATCAAAAAAAAATATAAGTAAATGTTCCCAAGTGCCGCTCTGTAAAAATTTGAGGCCCTATGTATATAATTTACAAACATATTGTCATTTAAAATTAAATTTGATTTACCGCGTTTTCTGCAGCTGTTCAATGCTGATATTTTCGATAAATGCTTAAAAGTAATACATAAAAGGTAAGTTCGTGTTCAAATTACAATATAGACACTATAATATATTTAGAAGAAATTTATTTTAATTGTAATTATAATATAATGACAAGATATTTATAAAAAATTCACACGCTATCAAGAGACGAATTTGTAAAACTTTTAATAAAACTTGAGGGTTTTATTACAGTTCCAGAATCTGCTTGCTTTGTAACAACGCTTGTGTTACAGCATTTTGGATAATTTGCAAAAGGATTGTCAATGGACCTTAAGCGTAAACATATTTCTGTGATAAGTTTACATCTAGCTTCAAATGATTGATAAGCTTTCGTGTATAGAGGTAAATAAGAATCTTTACTTAGAGGATTATGGATTTTTAAGTATAATGCTATATACAATAGCGCTGATATCTGAATACTTAACCCTGGGTACTTTGGTCTCACGACATTAACGGAACAACAAGCCTCTGTTATAATGTTGCCAACAGTTTGTTCCAAATATCCTAAGTGAGGAAGTTTCTTCAAGAATAACTGGGGTAAAATTTTGGCTTCTTTAAAAACCGATATGTCGTAATACATTTGTGGTTTAGCTAAGAATTGAGCAAAACAGATGGAGCTACAAAATAAGTAAGTTTTTCCTTTATATACCACAGCATAATCTTCGTTGCCTCTTTCTATTCTCTGTGCTGGTAAACTTTCAGCATATGTTACTATACATATGCCGTCTTCATAGAGATTGTTATTATTAATTGTTTTAACAATAGCGGGTATTTCAGGGATATCTAAATTTTCTTCGAAAAATCTATCTGGAAACTTTAACACTAAATTCATATGTTCACAGCAAACCCAGTAAAAGCATCCTTTAAATTGTACCACGCCTTTTTTATCGACAGGATATCCACTATGCTTAAAAACATTTTCGCGGAGACAAGCAGGACAAAAATTTTTAATTCCTGACATTTTCGATTTAAAATCATCGTTGGAGATACACATAGATTCCATAGGAACTATCCTTGATTGGAGATTTAGTAAATAGTAATGAATTTTAGGACTAATTTCTTTAATTTTAGTATCCGCTTCAAAGAAACACTTCCAGAGTGATTCCCCTCCATTTATAATACAAAGATTTTGTGTGTCGTTATTTACAAAATCTCTAATCCGGGCACATTTTTCACTATACTTCAACAATCTATATGATAAAAAGGTGCGTGAGTATGGCGGTTTTCTTTTTAGTATATGTGTGTAAATTTCATTCTGTGAATTTTTAAAGCTTAAATCTCTGTCAACATGTAAATCGAAAATAATCAAAGGAAATAGTCCTACTTTTTGAAGCTCCATAGCATCGAACGGCGAGGTAGGTAAGCCGTCTAAAATAAATCCTCGCGAATTGGTACAGTGATTATTTAAAATGGTTTGAACTGCTAATATAATAACGTCATTGCTTACGCATTCCCCTTTTTCAACTTTCGATGCAATTTTTAAACCTAGATCTGTCCAAGATAGATTATTTAAAATGTGTCGCAAAGCTATTCCTTTAGATACGCACATTAGCCCATATTTTCTTGCAAGTTTCGCTGTTAATTCACTCTTTCCTGATTTAGGTGGTCCTAAAACTGCTATCCTTAATGGATATTCAACAAAATAATTTATACTTTCATTTACTATATACTTTAAAGGGTTTTTCCTAAATTTTTTCAAACCATCTTCATTGCAAATAAAATAAATGTGTGATCTATGAATAACAGTTCTGATGTCATTACTAGTTTTATGAACAGTATATGGATTAAATATTGCGTTGGGATGGTCAAAAATATAGACAGGGCACATTCTGTTAAATTTGCTTAAGAAAAAAAACCCTTCCAATATAAGCACTTCAGCGACGTCACAATCGATAACAAATGTTTGTTCAAAACATGTGTCACGCTTACGACGCAAACTTGCCACTTTTGATAGTAAAATCTTACTTACTTTATTCATTGATCTCGTTCCATCTACAGAAATCAATTCAATGTTTTGGTCTGCTAAAGTATCTTTTAAAACTTGCATATTTTCATCCTCTAATTCGTATGTGTCTTCTATTCTAGTAACTATTTTTTCACGTACATCATCTGGTTTCTCCCATTCGTTTTGATCAAAAGGTTCTGGATATTCCAGTATCATATTGTTATATGTATTGAACAAATTAGCATCAACATTCGATGATCCAGATGGATGTGCGTCCATTATAGCACTTTGTATAGAAAAACTTGTTATCTGTTCATTTGGTATTGTACTGCTGTCGAAAAGTTCGTCAATAATAAGTTTTACTACTATATTTTTCGTTATAAAATCTATCCATTGTAGCCGATCATTTTCTAATTTTATTTGTGATTTAGTTTTGGCTTCATTTAAATGTGTTTTCCAGACATTTAACATCTTTGTTGATAATCTTTGTGACGAAATTTCGGGACTGCACTCCAATTCAATTATTAAATCAGGGATACAAACGCATTCTGTCATATCTTCGACGTCACTTGCCATTTTAGGAAATCCATCTAACACAAACCCGATAGTTGAAAACGGAGTTTGAAACCATAACTTCTTTAATAACCTTTGCATCAAAAGAGGTGATAAAGGTGCACCCTTTTCTAAGTAATTATAAATCATGCGTCTTAATTCGTTTTCATTAGGCAGAATATCTGAATCTGGGTTTATATTTTCTTCGTTTATATCAAATTCTGTAACTGTGCTTTCTTCACCTATTGGAGGGTCAGTGAAACTATTTTCAAACTGACGGCCAACTTTTTTACAGTGAAGAGGTAATAAGTATGAATTTAGAATTTCAGCAAAGTCAATATGAATTAAGCCATATTCTTTTGCTATTAATGTCGACACAGACGTTTTTCCGCTTCCAATACACCCAGTTACGCATATTCTCAAAGGAGGTATTCTCTTAAAGGGTTTGTTATATGACTGATATCTTGTAATGTCATTTTGGAAAAATTCTAAAAATTCTTCTTTACAAAAATAATGCAATTTGTTGTCATAGTTCAGACAAAGTTCTGATTTACCTTTCCATAATACACCATATTTGTAGTAACTAACTGGGCAATAAATATTAGTTTCACATAAAAATCGAGGGTCAATATCAAATAGGGTGGTAAGTGATGTATTTTTTTCGCTTTCATCAGCTTCAATTATTTCATCTAAACTGGAGTTAGGAATAGTGCAATAACTTCTACGTATTTTTAATAATACTTCTTCTATTATTTGAATATCTGTTTTATTTTCAATTTGTACTTCAATACATGTTTTAAACGTTTCTTTGAGATTAAGTTGCAACGTATCCCAATCTTCGCGAAATTTGTCCATAGACTCATTAATTTCATTTATAAATTCACTTTTAGCCGTAAAAATAGTTTCCATCATAGCATTTATAAGATCCTTTATGAACATTTCAGCATGAATTGGAGGTGTTTCTACAGCTTTTTTTGAAAGCAGTTTAATTTGTATAAGATCGTCATTAGCTAACAGGAAGCGTGTATCATGACTTTTTGAACATGTTTTAATATCAATATAATTCTGACCAATTTCTTCATCGATCTCTCTATTCTCTTTGATAGTTATAACATAATCTGGTAATAAAAGTGAGTCTAAAAGAAATTGCCAAATTTCTGTATCTGGGGGGAATCCATCAATGATATACTTCCCATATTCATACTCATAATTTGATTCACCTTTCATCTGAATATCAAAACTTTTCAATATCTTTATTAATTCTTGCATTAATTCTATTGGAGTTGGTTCAATATCCATAGTAAGATTATTTTCTAGAATAAATGCAGTTGTTGCATTCATAACATCCTCGTCACCAATGGCAGGCACACCTGGTTTAGGCGTTACTGTAGTTAAATCATGAGTTGCAAATTGGAACAAATTATCATTTTCAAGAATTTCTTGACATTTTTGAATGTCATCTAACATAGGCAAGAAATGAAGTTCATTCCGTATATTTGCCAATTCATTGAAAAAATCACTTCCTTGTTCTGCAGTATCAGAATATTTGTCATCCTTTGTTCCCTCTATTTCAAAAGTTTGGTATTTTTTCGTTAAAAGAACATGTTTCTGTAAATTTTTTGTGGTTACATCATTCCAATCGTTTAATTTAGTAATTCTATTTAGTTCTTTCTTTTGCCATTCTATTGTTCTATTTTCCTCAATGTCTGTGATTATTTTAGATAATATTGACTTTGAAAACTCCTCATATTTTTTTTGCCTCTCATTATTGACAAATGACTCGTAATTTATAACAGGAGCGTCAAACAACCAGGATAAACACTGTGTAATCATACTTTTACCAGATGACTTTGTTCCCATTACTATTATTCTACATGTTGGCTCTAAATACTCCAGCTTTAAAAAAGGGCGAGGATTTCGGCAGAATGCGATCATAGCATTCAATGATGATAAAAGATAGATGTGTTTAAAAAAGGCAACCGCAAATTTTGGTAAGCCTTTGATTACATGTCTTTTTTTTAGTTCTACTGGACATCTATTGTACCAAGGCGATGCATATCTAATGAACTTTTTTGAACCATATTTAATAATGTTAGTTTCTTCAGCCAATTTCCAAAAATCCTCAATCTCATCAAAGGAATCCTCAAGATACAAAGGTTCTGGTATTAAAACAGGTTTAACTGGCAATGATATAAGTTTTTCTAATAAAAGGTTTATCATTTCTTGGGTAGGATAGCGACCATCCAATTTAAGCACAAATTTAGAGTCAAAATCTTTTATTTTCTTCTCTAAATAAGGCATGATATAATTTTTGTAATTACACATCTGATTTGTCGAATTAGAAGTAAAATTAACTGGCAATCTACAGCAATATTTCCATTTTAAGTAAGTGTTGTCACTAAAATTTGATAAATTCTCTAGCACGGTATATTTAGTAGGCCATCCCAACTCGTCATTTTTCAACAAAAATGGATGACTATCAATAGGATTAGTGGTCAAATAATTAAAGTATTTGCGACTTCTTTTAGTAACTGCATCTGTATCAGGGCATGAAATATAAATAACTATGTTAGGTTTAACATTAGAACTAAATATTTCTTGACACTGATGTAACAGCATAGCTTTTTTTGAATATAGATAAGCTTTTGTAAATAAAATTAAGCCATGAGAAGGTTCTAAAACAGACTTAGGTATTGCTCTAATTGGGTCCAGAGCTTCATTTACTTCGGCTTCTTGTTCTTCTTCTTCAAAGTTACTTTCAATTTCTGACATAAGTTCACTAGTACTTGAAGAATCAAGATTTACTGGTTCATTTCTTATCACATTACCTTTCTTTTTATGTAAATTTGTAATTAAATCATGTACTAACTCCTCTGCATTTAATATTGTGTCTTCATCATGTAATTTACCATAAAAACTCTCCATATTTTTACTACAAGTTACCAATGGGAGCCCGGATATAACATAGCCTCTGTGTTTTACTGCAGGTGAATCCAATTTCTTTTTCATTATTGTCCAAATTGTATCAAACTTACAAACATTGTTATGTCGTAAATTAAAATCAATACATTTTCCTGTGGGACTATTTTGTTCTATTTCATCCTCGATGACATTCTTTGGGCTAATATGTATAACATTTAATCTCTTGGCCATACTTTCTCCAAGTGAGTATCCTCCAGTTCCTGGTTTCGCTAAAATGGTATAGCACATTGGTTTCAAATTTAGATAAGTTTCTTGAGAATCAATATCAGTCCAAGTATGGTAGGAATCTAGATTATTTGGAAATGGTGATGCTGTGTTATTTATGCCTAAAATAGCCACGGCCAATGGCCTGGGACGATTATCAGTTTCCTCAGTTGTATTTGTTTTTATATGGTTTAAGTCTCCACTGTACACCATATTTTTATTAGGTACCACATTATTAATGTTAAATTTGTCCACAACTTGGAAGTATGAATAAGGATTATCATTTTCAGTCATCCTTCAAACATGTAAACATTTGACATATAAGAAGCTTTATTTATCAAATAAATTTAACTGTCAATTAATGTGACAAGCAATTAACTAAATATGAAAAATGTAAGGAAAATAGGCAGCCAGTATTTTGGCAGTATCCTTAAATGATAAGGACTATTTAATAATTATTGTAGTATCTTTATTATTGGCAATATAATATATATAACATATGTAAGTTAATATAAAAGCAGCTTAGTTGGATATTTTTTTAAATATCATCTTATTATTTATTTTTAGTTTTGAGAATAATTAGGGTTATAAATATCAAAGTGCCAGCAATGGAATTTTAAGGCATTATACCATCACTAGGTTCAAGGAAATTGTATAAAAAGACACCCATCCTTACAGCCCTTCCCTTAACAACTTAAGAAGGTGACTAATTTCATTTTAAAAGTATAATTCTGAAAACTGATTTTTAATATTCATTCATTGATTTATTACAGTCCTTCACAAGTTCATTGCTCAACATAGGCCTCCCTAGAGGAGTGCCACAAAGCATGGTCTTGAGCCACCTCCATCCATTTTTAATATTAATTAACTACATATCCTCTCTATTTCCCCTCTATTTCCCCTCTATTTCCATCTGCCACCTCATACTAATGCAACCACATGAACTTTTTAAATTGGAAAAATGTGTTAACTATAGTATATACTTACATATATAATATACAAGGTAACAATAATTCCAAGTTGAAGTATATGTATTTAGTTTCACGAAATATTAGATTGATGAATGTTGAATGTAGAGATTGTTGAATTGTGAAATGGTAGTCAAATAATTATTGTCCTTGTTAATAAAGCAAAATTGTAATAAAAGATACTTATTTTCATTTGGATCAATAGTGCAGAAAGGAAAATTCTCAGCAGCCGCTTGACTTTTAGTCAGCACATTGAAGAATGTAGATTTGCCTACATTTGGTACTCCTACAATACCAACTTTTAAATTAGTGCCCACTCTTCCAATCAGTGGCTTTTTCTCAGGTTCTTCTACCTTTTTTGGAGCCATTCTGCAAAATAAAATCTGTTTTTAGTTATTAAAAAAGTTACAGCCTATATACGCATGAAAACACAATGTTTCTCCAAGTAATACATATTATATTAAATTGTTTAGTGTGATTGCCAGGTCAATCTATTTATTTAAAACATAAAAGATTTTTAATATTGATGTGGGCACTATAAGATGTTGTTAGGTTAGCTAATTACGAAATAACTTAAGACAGAAGGACCCTTAAGTAGGGACTGAATAAATTAACCGACTTGGTATTACATGGATCTCACAACTTTTTACAGTAGAAGAACTGAGTTGCGAGACTTGGGTTTTTTTACAAGTTATGTTGTTGACGGCATCTCATTTCTTTTTGTAGATAGTTATATCTAGGTACCTATCTACACCTATTACTCCGTTATATTATACATATACAGTTACACGGATTTATTCACTGCAAATGTAACTTTGTAATCCTATATATTTATATGGGATTACATAGTTAATTGTGCAATTGATGTATATAGAAAACTGGACCAAAATGGAAAATATTTCAGTTTTTCCTTGATTTATATACTAAACCCTAATTGTATTCTAAATATGAAGCTTCTATGTCTGCTAGAAGTGCCTTAGAGTTTTGATGATTGGTCATTCAGTGAGTGACAAAATTAAGAAACTGACTAGTTATAATTCTTAAACTACTGGTTCAAATTGAATGAAATTTGAAATATACCGTGTTTATACAATGCCTGCTTAGTTACTGAAAATTCAGGCTTCTAGTTTTACCCACAACGAAGTGGGGGATAGGGGGTCAAAAATGGCCTGAACTGCTTCGAGAAAAGGATGGTACGGCCGTGCCGCTTTTTGCTCGACTTAGCGGGGCACTGCTGTGCCCCCAGATACTAGTATTAAAAAGGAAAAGTAACCCTAACGCAGTCCCTCAAATTACTGACACAAATATTTTATGTAGGTATTTATCATATAATATTTATGATATAAATTTCCAAATAATTTCCAAAATTACTACAAAAAACAACACCTATTCGATGCACGTGGAATAGCATTATTTCAATAAATATGATAACCTACAACATCTGTTACCTGCCTAAATAAAAGTAGAACAACTCAGTACCTTTTTTGTTAGGTTGTATAGAATTAAAAATAAATAAATTTAGTTATTTACAACCATACAACACAAATGAGAACAATATTTGATATTGATGAAATAAAGATTAAAAGATATTTTGTTCCGTATGTGAACTCTGTGATACTGTCAAAGTGTCAAATGTCAATGTCAAAATTGTCAAATCAGTGAGACCATCTTTAAAATACAGATCCTGCCTTACTTTGGTTAAAAACCTGCCAAATCCCGCCAGTCTGTAGTGAAAAATGCCTAGTCTGTCAAGGTCATGAAAAAATATTTTTGGAACTACTGCTTTTGCTTGCACTGGCAACAATAAATTATTGTCAAACAATAACTCAGCTGTCATATCGTAACCATGAAGTTATAGATAAAGATGGAGACCACACTCTGAATACCTACTTGAAGCTCAACCTGTGTATTACTATCTCGCTCTCTGTGGGCAGACCCTCTCTTTCTAAGTAGGTAACCTTTATTTTATTTTTCCCAGGATATCGCTATAAGTAGTTGCATTACATTAAGTGGTTTATTTATAAATATTTACATCTCTGTTTACTACTAAGACCTAGCCTATATAGATTATATATATATATATATATATATATATATATATGTACAATTTTTTGGGAAATTGGTTTTATGAAGAAAGGTTTTCATTTCCATGGGCAGAACCGGTATCTAAAATATAACCACGCATTTCCGTTACAACCCATATAATGCCGAGCCTATTTAGAAAATGTGGAAAATAAATATATCAGAAAATATTTTATTACTACCATTTCGATAATGTATTTTCTGGATATTGTATAGAATACCTAAACGGTACCAACGAAATATAAAATTAAAATTTATTATAACACCCTGGGTGATCAATGAATTGGGCAAAATATACCTGATTTATTGTTCAGACAGACTAAATCTATTTCGGGACAATTATTTTAGAAAAATATCACGAGGACTAAAGGAGCGTAGCGGAGCTTCTGCCTTAGTCTTCTGACCTAACCCATCCGAGTCAGGATGCTCTGAGCTGAAATGTGTATAATACTATATTCCACACATCCTGTTCATTTTACGAATTATCTACAATTCCTAGGAATTCTATATAATAACGGATTTCATAGATTTCTAGTAACATGTGTACTATAATAGGAACGATAATATATAAAAAACCTTAAAAAAATAAATAAAAATACTTTCCATATTAAAATTATTTATTGAAATTTTACACATCATGTGGATAACTCTGTGGCTTTTTGAAGTCCTTACAGATATCAGCAAAGCACCCTTGAATAAATATTCTCAATTTCTGACTGACCCGTATACTTTTTAATAGTTGCCACTAAAGAAGACCTATCCTGAATTTTTTTAGTTTGGCGCGCCAATTTTTGCTTAAGAATCTTAGTTTTCGTGTCAAGTATTTCTTCTTTAGTACACTTTATTTTCACTTGCACGTCGTCGTATTCACTGCCGACCTAAAAAACAAGAAAACCTTATGAAATCAGTATTTTTAGCATCGTACATAGTATTGCTCCGCTCATTAGTGTCGTAGCGTGATGTTAGACAGCCTTTCTGAGGAATTGGTTTTAAAAATGCAAAAAAATATTTTCAAATCTGACTGGTATGGTTTCAGAGATTAGAGGATAAAACAAAAAAAAAAGAAACAAAGAACTCTTTTACGTCATAATGTCAGTACAAATTTACATCACTTAATAGGTAACACATAATACACCGGAGCGCGCCTTCGTGAACACGCATAAATGAAGCATCAAACAAGAAGCTTCATGCTTAGTGTCGTAGTGACGGTTACCACACTGCGACTGGCACTAAAGAGTTTAAATATGTATGTGTTTTAAGCTATATAATACATTATGTAATGTAATATTAAAGTCATAATAAATACAAATAAACGGTATGTATTTAGTAATAAAGGAAAAGGAAACTTACAGGTAACTTGTTCAGATTGCATAAATTTTCAAGAATTTTTCGACATTGTTTTTACTAGTTTGGTCTTCAATATTACAGCCAGTACATTTCACTCCTGTTTCCTTAAGTGCAGAACTACTTTCATTAATTCCAGAACTAGTGCTTGGTACAGCCAGAGAAGCTATTTGCACAATAGACTCTTCATGTCATGCACTTGTTGTCTGCAAATGATAACATATTTTACAAAATGTTGCTTTATGTATATCATACATTTAAACTACTACATTTCTAAATACATGATATATTACGAAAAATAGATAATTAAATTATATTAAATTTTTCCTTGCCTGGTGATACTGTTTCTTGATTTCTTATAACAGTAGAAACTGCTGTTGGTTTTAAGCGCCTTGTTGTTGAATCATAATCTGATTCTTGAAAATGCAAATTACAAATCCTTGCACTTTCATAATACTTCATTTTCAATGGTACAATGGATAACAACAAATTTCTCCGAGTACTGTTTTAGGAAATCTAAAAAAAAATTTTCGTAATTATTGTAAACGTTATTAAAGTATCAGAATAATGAGAAACAAAAACAAAGTAAAAAAAGTAAAAATAAATTGTCTCCCAAAAAAATATATTGTGTTACTAATTTTTAATTTAATATTATGAAATCTATGAAATCCGTCATTATATAGAATACATAGGAATTGTACATAATTCCTAAATTTCATGCATTTCCGGTAACATAATAAGAAACATGTACATATAATTAGTTAAGGTCACACGGAAAGTCTCAGATACATCGTCAATATGGTCACACTACTTCAGTGCGATTTCTTTTAAACAAAAACAATAAAATTATTCAAAGTCCATTAAATTCAATGTAAAACTATTTGATTTTGACAAAGTTGTAATTTACTAATATGTTTAAAACACTGATAAAACGTTTCAGCAAAAAATTTAGTGAAAATACAGAGAAGTATGTTTACAAGTATTCAATGCCAGAAGTCACTATTTAAACACTTACGTGTGAAATCTTATATCACTTCCTGGACACCAACTACTGCCGCAACCACGTACTACACTAGTTTGCACCATTTCTTGATTATAACAATAATTATCTTTAAATATCTCAAATGACGCTGCGAACTGCTAAGTAAGCAACCGCCATATTTGTCTAATTTATGTTGACATATAGGGCTAATGTTGCCACATTACCGAACCCTTAGGAAATGAGATTGTAATTCACTGATTCGTTAACCCAATAGTGCATACGAGACCTTCAATTTTGGAATTTTTAATGTAAATAATCGTAGTTAAACTATTTATTTATTGGAACAATATTTTTCAGAGCTTAACTTCTGATTTGGTTATTGTGGAAACTATTTCTAAGAATTTACCAGGAGATTTAAATAAAAACATAGCAATACACACACACACATTCCACACTAAAAAGAGAAGTCAGACCACAGAGAGTGAGATAAAGATACGTAGGTATTTGACTCAAGCTGTTGTTCCAAGTGTGGCCTCCATCTTTATCTATAACTTCATGATCGTAGCTTTGTAGTTGATGTGCTTCATAGATAAGAGTAAGATTTTTGTTATATTTCGAGTTTTTCTTATCGTATGACCGCAGTCTTTAGAGATCAAAATTGAAACGCAGTGTTTATAAGAGCGATACTAGACAAGTCATATTTAAAGTGTTTCAAGAGTATATGGCCGAATTTCAAGCGGAAAAGTTTCTTTCCGATTTAAACGTTGTTTACGGTCGAACAGCAAGGGTAACTTGTACGTACATGTATTTTAATGTTAAACACAATAAAAAAAACTGTAATCTCATAGCTATCATTTGTTTTTAAGTATAATTTATCCCTTTTTTTACATTGCTAACAAATAGTTGAGGTTATGAAATTTATTTAAGAATTATACTACACAGTCAATAGTTTGATCTTTTTGTATTATTTGTTTAGATATGAATAAAGTATTTATTATTTACATGCCTATATTTGTTTCAGGTGTTTCTGAAAGCACAATTCAGCGCATAGTGGACGACGATGAATATTCTGCACGTGGAGGATCTCTGTATAATGATATAGACAATCTTATCATCTCAGTAAGCGATGATAGTTCCAGTGAATCTGAAGAGTCAGAAATGGACCAATTTAATTACGCAGGAGCTTCAGGCAACATTTCGGGAGTTGAATACCTCAACTCAGATTATTTTGACTCAGATTAATAATCAAAATATAATAACTATGGATCAACATTTTGTTTGTTTTATTTTTGCACCTTGGGTGTCTGCTGCCTGTCAAGGCTGGACTTGTGTAAAACCTGCTTTCCCTAATAATTAGTGTAGGTTACACAGTCAAATTATCTCAATTATTAAGTACGTAAATTTTGCTAATTACCTGTGCTGAGATTTACAAGGGTCAAGGGCTACGCAATAAAAGCATGTACTTGAAAAAATATGACAGTAAAGGGACCATAATGTTAAATCAGTTTATAAAATAAAATAAAACCATCAAAACTTTTCGGTTTAAATTTATAGGGATGCCATATAAAATATAGTGGCGCCCTCCTTTTTTCATGAGTTTCTTGACAGACTGTAAATACTGCCAACTTTATTTACCATTGTATAATTGTTTTAAGAATTCTAAGAATCTCCTGTGGAGGTTCGGTTGCCACCTACGACGACTCGACCTGGCTACATACAACGCACGCACCCTGAGGGCTGACGAGAAGATTGTGGAGCTGGAAGAAGAGATAGACAAGTTACGCTGGTATATTATAGGATTATCCGAAGTCCGAAGAGAGGGGGAGGACACGGTAATCCTCGAATCCGGCAACTTGCTCTATTACCGGGAGGACGACCATCTGTCCCAAGGAGGTGTCGGATTTATCGTCCACAAGTCTCTCGTTAACAACGTTGTAAAGATTGAGAGTGTGTCGACGAGGGTTGCGTATCTTATACTCAGAATCACCAAACGGTATTCGCTGAAGGTCATACAGGTTTACGCACCAACCTCGGCACACCCCGATCAGGAGGTGGAGGAAATGTATGAGGATATCTCTAGAGCCATGCATTCCTCCAAAACCCAATATACGGTGTTAATGGGAGACTTCAATGCAAAACTAGGCACAAGAGAGAACGGTGAGCAGAAAGTGGGGAAATTTGGAATAGGGCAACGGAA